ATCCATGGATGGGTGACTCCATACTAGAAGTTTCGCAGCTGTTTGGAGGTGACATGAATTCCAAAGGTCTTCTCCAGTCAGGCTGCGACTGGAGATGACTTCATATTTTGGTGTACATGAAGGTGATGGGCGAGAGCCAGCTCCTGCTTATCGAGGAACATCTTGGGTATCTTCCGCCCTGGTACTCGTATCCACGTCCTCTGTCTGGGCTGCGAAAACTTTGCTGATATGTGACTCGGTCGAAATGTCTTTTTTTGCCCCCCCCCCTGTATATGTATGTCTTCAATGAATCAACAGTGAACTACTTTGAAACTTGAAACTATATTCGGTGTGTTAGCCACGGGTGGTGGATGTTATACGAGGACTGTACGGTAAGAAAACGTAGTAGTTCTGTAGAGAAAAGTGGGACCACCTCATGTACTGACCTCTCACTGGCTGCTCAAAAAAAAAAACGAAGTAAATAGAATGAAATCCATCTGGCTGTAGGAACTAATAGAATAAGATCATTGCTTCCTCTGTTCCATACATACTAGAGAAAAAATAGTTACGTTGAACAAAAGTCCTTCCTCAAGGGCTCCAGGACTTTGAGTTATTAGGGGCACCCCACGCTTTACGACCCTCCAAAGGCAATGTAATCCATAGAGGATGGACTTTCACACTTTGTTTCTTTATATTTTGTTTCTTTCCAAAGATAAGGATCTGGAACAACTCAAAGGAACTGTAGCTGAACCAACACCAGGCTGCTCGCTGCAACTGCTCGGCCAATTGAATTATGGGAAGATACGAGGGTGAGCGATTGATATCCAGTTCATCGCTATCAGCATGGTTTCCAGCCGGGATCATTGAAAACTAATTGACATCAACTGAATTAGTCGATGAAAAGTCACAGCCACGGATTTGCCAAGAAAGACAATCTTCAGGGAAGTGCTGAGGTGAGTGCCGCGCGGCAGGTATGTACAGTCCTCATCATTGAAGACCGGTGGGGCGGCTGAGCCGCGCTGCGTGTGACGCGACTGTGACGCGACAGCGACTGCGGCTCAGTGACAGTCGCGTCACAGTAGCGCTCAGCCGCCCCACCGGTCTTCAGTGATGAGGACTGTACATATGCTATGGTCACGCGAAAACCGTTTCCGATTAAACGTAGCCACGGCGGTCAAATGATCTCCAGGTGACAGCGCCGACTAATATCCTCAATAATTCTTAAGAGTCTCCGAAAAACTCCGTGATTCAGAACGGATTATCCATTACATGAAATATGCCTCCTATCATTGTTAAGTTAAAAGTTTAGACTTGTCGCGAGAATTAATATTCAACCCTGTACGAGGAGGTGCATTTCCGATAGCTGAGGCTAGCTGGCAGAAATGCGCGCTTCGATAACTAAGGCTAACTGGAAACAAAGCAACGGGAGGATGCTCTTCTAAAATGGTAGGGATCCCAACTGTGAGGGATTATCGACGATGAGTACCGTCGATTCCGTCATTTTGCTTTGGAGTTCACGTTGAATGCACGAATATTCAAGATCAGAAGGTATAGAAAGGGGCGACATGGAACATTTTGCACGCGCCCACATTTCAAGTCTCCTGTATAACCGTGTATAACCAGTCTAGAACCGTGCGTGGACCATAGAAGCTCAGAAAGATTACTTATAAAGGCAGTTTGCACGATAAATCCCTGGGACGAGCAGGATTAATACGCCTGGCAGGACGGAATTCCACGCCCCTGAGCAGGCGCTGCGTAGCGGCTTTTCCAAGGAAGGTACCTTTACAAGGTCCTATCGAGCTGCAACATACCGATCCGGACGCCCGCAGATGGACGACCGTACCTGATGCTCGTATCGCTTCATTTGCGAAGTAAAATATGAAGCGAAGGACTGATTGATATGAAGCGGCTGCGGTGCTGCATGGATATATGAGCACATACGTGCATCCGTATCTACCGTAGCGGTTATTGGCACGATGCTTACGAGGCGGTTATGGCAAGATGCCTACGGGAAACTCGTCCGAAATTGCTTTTTGAGTCATTAAGAACGAAGGCTTTTCTCCGCAGGTTTTTGGCCGTTTCGCTTTGTTTCTTCGCCACCATAGCACCCTGCTAGATTTCAGACCGAGTACAAAATTATAGTGCCAGATGCCTTTGAAGGCGAAATGAATCAAGATTTCGGTCTTGGAACCATGGGTGTGGATTCGTCGCTAGCCATCCAGCCTCTGAAGGATTAGTGAAGCTCTTCTCGAAATTGCATGCCATTCTTGCCCGTGGGTCTGCTTATCTACTGAGTATGGCTCAAGTGTTACTGTATGACAGGAAAACAATGCAGGTACATGTTGTAAAAACAGCACGTGATAGAAATTATTCAATTATGTGTGGTGTGACCCGATTCCAAGTTTCTTTTCGCTGCTGTGATTAATGCTACTGGACCTGTGAAAAAATTCGAGGCACTTCAATGTATGATCGCGTTGTGCGCTAGAAATCTGCTATGTTCCACAGTTCAGAGGTCAGTTCGACCATCCTTTCCTGTGAATTAAACTTGTCTTTTGACAGGTTCGTTTGCCCCACTACAGCGCTGCGCTTTGTTTTACAAAACGTTTTTTCATAATTCTATATCTACTCGGATGTCTAGAAGTACCGTATTCGAAGATTCATCGCACTGAATTCGAGCAGTGCTTATGCCCTGAAATATTCCCATCTTCCACAGGTTATGTACCAAACACAGCCAATCCAAGCAATAAGGAAGTCGACTGTTCCCCTATCTGATGATCCGGGCACGCTCAAAACTTGCCGATACCCTATTATCATTCTAAAGGATTCGCTGAAGATTCCCAATCCAGAAAACTCGAATCATTCGAGGGAGTTAAGTGCGGTGGTGACGGCGTCGAAGGCGTACGGAAAAAGCGAAATTGGCCGATGAACTTGCTGCGAATTGGGCGACATTCTCACTGAAGTGACGAACCGTTCCCAATGCTCGGCGTTTTTACTTAATCACTAAAGAAACTACGCAATATGGGTGGTCTAGGCCGATCACTGATTACTTTTTTCATATTATTCTCCATATGAAATAACAACACTATTTACCCCAATCGTCCGAAATCTGGAAAGTTTTTGACCAACTTTTTACGTTGAAGAAATTGGGTGATTGTCCCCCTAGGGTAATTTGATTACTTAATAATGAATATAACATTCGCTCGGCACAGAACCTCCTGGCGCTCGCGCCACGGGCGCCGGCGCTAAAATATCCTGAATCACGGGCGCTTGTGGCGCGGACACCAGAAGGTTTCGAGCCAAGTGAATGTGACATTTGAATTCAGAAGGACCCAGAAGACAAATTGAGCCAAATCTGCACACGGAGGAAAAAGTCGGTCAAAACTGGCTCGATTCCAGCTAATTGGGGCAATGGTAAATAGTGTCGAAATAACTGCTATAACTTATCGTCAAATACGTTGCATGAGCATGTTGTCATATATTTTTTATTGTACATTAAACCCACATCTGTATGAGAAAATGATAATAAATATATTAAGAGGCAAGAAGAGGTCAGAGATGCAGATTCGTTGCAGAGAACCGTAGTCCGGCTTAATATCCGGGAGCAGTACGCGGTGGTGGGCAGTGGTCGCAAGAACCCTTGTTGCCGTCCTTTCCGGGAGCTCCTGGCTCTCCAGGTGCTCCAGGATTTCCGGGTGCTCCATCCTGTCCTGGGTCTCCTTGAGGTCCAGGGGATCCAGAAGTACCAGGGTTTCCTGGGCGTCCGTCCGGTCCGGGTGGTCCTTGTGGTCCTGGCTCTCCGGGCTGTCCTGGTGGACCAGGGGGAGATGGAACAGTGCGCACTTGACCAGGAGCTCCGGGCTGTCCAGGCTGGCCATCGTTTCCGCTAGGTCCAGGTGGTCCCTGAGGGCCAGGGGCTCCAGGTGCTCCTGGTCGTCCATTCGGTCCTTGGTCTCCGGGTGCTCCAGGGGTACCAGGTTGTCCCTTGGGTCCGGGCTGTCCAGGAGAACCAACAGGTCCCGGTGGGCACTCGAAGCAAAAGTCTTCAGCACGAGGAATGACATGATCGTTAGGAGCATCAGGTCCAGGAGCTCCAGGAGCTCCCGGTCGTCCATCATTTCCAGGGGCGCCATCTTGTCCAGGATTTCCAACCGGACCTGCTGGTCCCATTCCGCAAGAGCAGCACTGATAAGTTTGCCTCTTCTCTCGGCTCTCAACCTTGCGGAATGACTCGAGCTGTAAAAAGAAACCTCAGAAAAAGATGAAGAGGATAACAACAAAATATCGCGCTGTATGAATTATTTGTGAATGAAAAACCAACCTTCGTGTACTCGCCACGGAGTCCTTGTGCTCTGGTGCGGCAGAAGTTGATCTCGTCTTGCAGACCAGACTGCACGTTCTGCATGTAAATGCAGAGCATTGGGACTGCCACGATAGCTGTTAGCGTGGCCACAGTTGAGACGGCAACACCGAAGAAGGCGAACTTCTTCACCGACTCGGCCTCAACGAGCTTCAGCTTATCCTCCATCTGAAAGCTGTTGAAAATGACGAGAGCAAAAAATATTGGCGGTGTTGCACTATTGCGAAATTAATGAGACGTGCGACACAGAGGTGCGGAAAATTGGCTCGACGACAATTCATCTAGATCTGCTGAACGATTTGAGATTGATTGGATATTTCTCGATCAGATAAGCAGATGAAAGAAGACGATTGAGATAGCTATGGTTCTTTGTGGGCAAGAACTTCTCTTTTATAGTGGTCAGGTGTGACGTCGTCATTTTTTCTGCGCGACGAACTGACCGTCGACGCCCACACGAACGAGATCCCGCCCGCTTCAGCACCCGGCTAGACAACGTTGGAAAGCTAAGCGCTGGAAGGAACAGCTAAAAGGCTCTGCTTAGCAAATTTGCTCAGCTCATAGTTTTCTCAGTGTGCCAATTGTGTACGAGGGGTCAAAAATTGCAGTGAAGGGGTAGGGGAAATTTCGTAAATCAAGATTTGGTTTCCGATGCAAACACGTCGTGGATTATCATTACAGTTTTCTAGTTTTTCGTCTTTATCGCGAGCACTTCTCTATGTAGGAATGGGAACATTCCTGAGGTGATAAGCGACTACATGGAACTTAGTTCATAGTTTATGAAAAGCTTTTTTATGGCATCTGCTGATCATTTATTCATGACCTGCATTGTACCAGTTCCGCCGTGATTATTCTCTATTTTTTCAGGGAGAGAAACCGGTTCGCCACACTTTTTTAGTCTGGAACTTTTTCAGAACGTCAATGTTTCTCTGAAAAGTGCAAATTCCACAAAGACTGATGGTCATGGTCTCAGGAAGGCTCTTATTATGGCCTCTTCTTCTTGGACTGTACAGAGAAGTTTGTGTGCACAAAGCACCATAGCTTCAGAGCCTCTAATTTATGATCCTTGAAAAAACCTATCATAAAACATTCATACTCTAAGAGTCCGCCTCCAGATGGCAAACAAGCATCGGATAAAGTTTCACCTTCACTAATGACTGGAGTACCTAGTTGCTGTGCGTATACGTACTATCACGGTGCGTATACGCTCCCGAATTACAACGAAAGCGAAAGCCGTATTGTGATAGTATCCATTATAAGAAAGTTTCAGATGTTTGACAAGAGGGTAAACGCGTAAAAGAGAAATAGCAACTAAGTATGAAGATTATGATTCGAAGACACGAACAGGACTTAAAATTAATTTTGCATCATTTCCAAACCTCCTAGGGCGAGTGTTGGGTGCTTAGGGCCTACAAGGACAAAGCAAATCTTGCGAGTACAATT